AGGTCCTGCGTTCCCACCAGTGTTCCGAACCAAAATATTTTATCTTCCCGTTGGTTCTGACTCTGGTGCAAGAATGCATGTTGCCATGTAGGAGGACGATTCTGGTTAAAAATTCGTGATGTCATCAATGTTTATCATACTTCTTACTGTGGTGAGTGTTTCACACTATACGTCAGCTGTAACTGTGGCCCATATTTTATAAAGTATACATTAGGAAGGCCTTTTTTCGTTTGGAAAAAGATAGCCATCATTTTCTAACTGGAGTAGGCTAATTGCTTGAATTTTTTTTTGTAAAAAAGAGTGGAGGCACCACTACAATTGTTTCTGCAATTGCGCACACTATCAAGAGTCGTCACCTGCGAGCAGTGTGCGAAAACAAATCATCTTTGTGGTAGCAGTCGAAAAACTCTTGTCTACTTGACGTCTTTTGGTGTTTGATTTGGTAGGTAAGCATTTTTGGAACCCAACTTGAATTAGCTTTGTGATGTCTGGGCATATCAGCTACAATAATGCAAATTGTAGTGAATCCAAGAAGGGAAATTTCGTCTTACAGACCACTATTCGTTAGTTGTCTATCTATTGCAATATCCAGCCGACTTGAACAATTTGCTTCTTCTGGATGCTTGGCGTGGCGCTTCACTATTTGTCCTAGATTTTTGTGCATCCATTTTGGAAGTCTCAACACCGTGTTTTGATACTTGTTTTATTCTTCACAGCTGTCCATAAACAAAGCACAACTCCCCGTAAATGGCAAAAGCTAGGGATTATTTTGCATGCAAAGTGTAATTACAGTGTGCACCTCACAACAGATGGGAACAACAATATTCGCCAACACTGTTGCGTCCCCCGACAACGAGACTACTACTGAGCCAGAACAATCACTTAGGATCTTTCGCAGATTGTGTTGTGCATATAACTCTTCAGACTTACGTGCAAATATAGCAGGATTAAGAAATGGCCTATACTTTATGAATAACCATCGTAGAAAATTCTATTATACATATTTGACTGAAAAGATTACTCACTGCCTATTTTTCCAACATAATTAATGCCATGACTTCCAGCACTTCTCAGCTGTCTAGAGTTACTAGTGTTTTGTATGTTCCCATATTTCATGTATATGTCATGTGCGGTGTAGTGTGAGTGCTGTTCGTTGGTGCATAATATCTTTTTTTACAAATGAGTGCTTTATGAAGTATACAAACAGGCATCCATTATTTCGTGTATCAGTTGCTCAACAACGGGCGAGCAAGGGCAGCTCATAATCTGAACTTGTCATCCGTGATAACTTTCACAAGAATGTTGACTTGCTGAGATGTCTGACTCAGGCTCTCATTATTCGTAAGCTGTTGCTCAAATAAAGTGTCTGTCACGGCAACTTTTTTTACCTCACTTCAAGCGTTAACTATGTTTTCTTTTCAGCATGATCCGGTAAATGATATGTTTCCAGGACTTCCGTGCTTAGCACATCTACAAGTTGATCTAGTTAGTCGTAAAAAGATCGGACGCGCAGGCATGACCATAGGAATCAAACAGAATATCAAGAACAATTTTTTATGCAGATATTGCTAGTACATCAGCGTGGGCGATTTCTTTTTATTCAACGCGATGTGTCATTCGCCAGTGTGTTGTCAAATAACATATTGCGGCTCAGGCTAATCGTACTGACACAGGACTTTTTGGGGGCATGTGTGGTGAGAAAGACAACGGCCAGCACGGTACCAAGTACTATGCAAGGGGTGTCCAGTGTAAATATTGTTGTCTGACTGAACAAGACAAGAGAGAATGTTGCACAATTTAAGCGGATCATTTTATAAACAGATGGATATTGCGGTTTTATTTGAATATATGGTTGTTTACTTCTATTCGCAATACCCATTGCCTATAAATGGCGCACCTTGCAATTCGAAGTGGCCCCTATGCTATAAAAAATTCAGCGCCATTATCTTCGACAACAGGGTGGAGCCCCTTACAAAACAATATCAAATGTTCAGCCATTTCCTCCTCTCCACACGCACGACATACCGTGTCTATGCCTTCGTATTTTGCTTGGTATGTCTTGGTCCGCAATACTCCCGTTCTAGCATCGAAGAGCAGAGAACTACTGCGCAAATCATCGTGGATATTTTCCCTTGCAATTTCCTGCTAAAAAGTTCGGTAGGTCTCCAGTGATGATTTCGTAAGCATTCCCATCTTCCACATGTCCCTCTATCTTTCCTTCACCTTTTTCTTAACCAATGCTTCTTTTTGGCTTGGTATTCTGCTGTTGTCTAAATACTTGCTTGACAATTTTCGGGTTAGTTTCCTCCATTTAGTATCCACATTCTTCACGTACAAGTAACTGAAAACTTTCCTAGCCCAACGTGCCTCTCACTTTTCTCAATCGCTCCTCAAATTCTATCTTGCTGCTAGCTTCCTTGCACTCAAACGATGTCCATCATGATAGTATTAGCAGTGCTATCTCTAGGTCGCAAAAGTTAGTTGACAACGCCCCCGCTACCCTTATTATTTTGCATTGTCTATAGCACAGTTTTTCTTTTTAAAATGATAGTATATAGGTGTTCTGTCGTACTACGTTGTCGACACGAAACCTGCACGATTCGCGAAGCTCGGTCAAAGTCGCTCGAGCCGTGCACTAGCTTGAGAATCGGTCCTCACCACCGGCAGAGTATTGTTGGCGGTGTTCCAAAAAACACCACTGCTACGAACGACGCCACCGCGAAACATCCCTAGCTCAAAAAAGTATCAAAAAACCTCTTCTTAGGTAAGCATTCTGCAAGGTCAGTCTAAATAGGTCGCGAAAGTCGGAACGAAAAGTGGTTTGAAACCTATTGCGACAGAAATCAACAACCGCGTGACGATTGAAGCACGACTGGGTAAGGGGAGGACAAGGAGTGAAAACTAGGAACTATTAAACGTTTGTTTGCAATATTTTAAAAAATTTCATTCGTTACAAAAATTAGTAGGTCACTTTAATGAATCGCCGGTCTTTGTGGTTCAGCACCTTTTTTTCGTTTGGTTTTATAAACAGTGGGTACATGCAGGCTGTCTGGTAACATTGGCCAACGAATGTGGGGGCGTATCCAGGCAATATGCTTGTGTTTAGTTCTGCGTGATTTTATCCCCTATGTAGAGTAGCAGGCTAGAGCGAACTAGCTCAGGCCGACCTCTCTGCCTTCTAATAAATTCTCACTCTCTCTCTCTCTCTCTCTCTCTCTCTTGATTCGGCATGCACATTACCAGGTCAACGAGGCATCACTCACTTTTCCGTGGTGATTTCGTGCGTAGCTTCACTAGTTTACTCATTATTTATCTGCATTTCATAGCTCAACTAGCTCACAGAATGTGTAGATAGCCGCTTCTGTGACTGCCGACTGTTTTCGCTGGCGCACGGCCGGCATGCTCTCGCCTTTGGTGACTGTGAACGCGACAGGCTAAGCAACAAAATGTACTCTAGGGCTGCCAAAGCTATATTTTCAAAACAGCTGTCTCGCTGTAGTGGGTTTCAAGGTTTCAGCAACGCGACTTTTCGAACTATTATTATTTTGCGCTCGTAAACAGTTGTTTGACTATTACCTCTGCTAACTTTCTTCTAAATATTGCAAGTACGTCACTTGGCTAATAAAATAACATTGCTTCCTCAATCTTTGTTATTTGTATTTCTTTTATCTCACATGCAAAGAGGTAGATACAATAAAGGCGCAATAACATTGCGTGATAATAAATGAACGTAGCAGGTCAGCAATAAGAGAAATGTTAATTTCGCGCCATGTAGGGCAAATGCGCAACGTCGCTATCACTTCCGGTTGTGACGTAATATTTTATGTTTATTTTTTGCTGTTAAATATCTTCTCCTCACGTAAATGGTGACGGAGGCCACGAGCCGCCGACTACTGGATTGATGGGCTTCTACAGCTACCAGTGTACATATACCTTGGATTCTGTACGACAAATAGGCGCTCGAACAATCGACGACTATGTCGAAGCAGTATTTGCTATCATAGTGGTTCCTAACTCGGCTAAGTTTATGATGCCCTCTCGTTATCACAGTTCGTGATTACTTCCCGCTCGTGCTAAAATTCTAAAATTCTCGTCACTTGCATAAGCTTATCACATGTGAGTCATGCTGTTTAACCCTCGCTTCTCACAATTATTTTGTCGGCTGCTCTGCAATCTCTGATAACGTTGTTCTATGGCTCACGTAGACGTTTTGGCCATTCTTTCAGTACCTATTATCTTTTATTAGTTTCGACTTTCATTACGTAATCATCGAATTCTTTAGAAAAACAGTGGCACATTCAGATTTGTAGGAAAAAGACATCAATTGTCTAACGTCTTCTGCACCCCATCTTGTTGTGCAGGGTATGGCTATTACACTGTACCCTGCATTGGGTAATAGCCATAAGAACAGGTGAAAAAGAAGAAGAAGAAGAAGAAGAAGTAGCAGCGGGAGTGTAATAAACGCTAAAAAACAATAAGAACTCACCTGCCGGGGCCAACACCCTGCAATGGGTAATACCCATAAGAAGCGGTGAAGAAAAAGAAGAAGAAGGAGAGTGATTGCTTCCGATCTGGGATTCAGCCACGAGAACAATTTCTATGCAGTTTGCAAGTACCTTAATGAAAGTAAAAGAATTAGGCTTTTAATTGCGTGATTAATATTCCTGCCGAAAATTCCAAAATACACAGGAGCTTTGTTTAATCACGCTGATTTCTGTTCAAGTTAATGAATGATTGTACGATCTGAACAAGTCACAAACAACTATCGCACTCCTTTCATTCTGCCTAGGACGTCTTTTATTTTTTCTTTCTTTTTTTTCCTGGTAGGTGGTTTCAATATTGAATTGAAAAAAAAAATCTTACTGAAATAAGTCATCAATTCTTGGCCGATCCCCCTGAGTGGGTACGAGCCATTGTTGTGGAATCATCATCATCTTCATCTTCACCAGCAGCAGCAGCGTGAGTACGTCTTGCCTCTGCGTGATCGCTAGGTCTACGAGATGACGCAGTCAATAGTCGTACAAGGTGAGTTCATTCTGTCTATAAAACTTTGTAAATCCCACGCACAGCGAAAATCAGTGGTATGCAAAGCACGAATGAGGAAGGCTGATATGTCACCTTCAAGTCAGCACAACGTAAAGAGGCGGACATAAATTCTTCGTACACGACTACCATGTCATGATTATCATGTTTGAATGCGTCATTTACCTTCATCATTTATTCACGTCCATGGCTCACATACAAGAGACCAAATTTGGTATATGTTAATCTAGTGAAACGGCCGCGAGCGTGCTATGAGCGCTGTCATGTTTGAGATGACACGGAAGCATACCATGATTATCATGCTTGAACTTGCCATTATTCTTCGTCGTTCATTCACGTCTCGTAATACCATATTTGTATATGCGGAACTAGCAAAACGGCCAAGAGCACGCTATGAGCGTACAATGTAATCATGTTTCACATGACAGGCGTATTGTGGTTATCATGTTTAGACCTGTCATAATTATCTTCTTCGTCTATTCATGTCATCTGATAACAAATTTGGTATATGTGGAGTTAGCAAAATAGCCGGGAGCACGCTACAAGCGTAGAATGTAGTCATACTTTAAATGACCCACATGTTATGATTATCTTGTTTAGACATGTAATTTACTTTTGTCATCCATTCACGTCACCTAATACCAAATTTGGTATCTAAGAAACGAGTGAAAGGGCCTCGAGTGCATACTGATCGTGGTATTTTGCCATGTTTTTACAAGACGCGCATTTATTGATTATCGTGTTTGCAACGATAAAATACCTTCGTCATCCATCGACGTCATGTAACACAAAATTTGCTATATGTGAAGCCAGTGAAATGGCCGCGAGCGCATTGTAAATGTGGCATGTAGTCATGTTCTAGCATGACAGGCATCTTATGAGTTATTGTGTTTTCACCAGTCATGTACCTTAGTCATTCATTCACGTCCCGTAATACTAAGTTTCGTATATGGGAAGTTACTGACACGACCGAGAGCGCACCGTGAGTGTAGCGTGTTGTCATAATATACATCACTCTTGTCATGATTTGCCCGTTAGGGTTTTTAACTTGTGTTCCCCATGCAGTCATGTGATACCATACAGTTTTGCAACAAGTATTGTGAACCAAAATACCGCAAAAGCAGCGAGACCAGGAAATGTAAATCCTAACATTCATGACATGTCTAATGATTGTCATGTTATGACTAATCAGTTAAGCTCGCTCTACCGTCATGATATTGCTTACCAATTTTGGTATTGATACCATTATCGTAATGGCTAAGAGAGTTAAAATTCGTAGGCGTCTCAATAGATAGATAGACATAGTTTACTAAAATTAACTAGAAAAGACCCTGGCGCTGCGATCGCTCAGGGACCATGGGAATGATGGACAGTACAAGAATTTGCCTAATCTTCGTTGTTAATGGCTGGTTTCGGTTTCGTTTTCAAAGAAAGGACGAACTATTTTAAACTTTGTGACCTTATTCGAAATGGTAAACCTAAACGTAGAAGGTGATGAAGCGCAACCACTGAACAATTGATGATTTTTGTTTTGTGAAAAAAGACCTCCAAGCCACACGAACACACACGGAGCCAGAAGCAGGCGAAAAGTAAGAAGATTAGAAGAAATATGTCTACCCATCATTTGCATGCTCGCTGAAGCGCCGTGCATTGCAACCAAGGAGGTTATAATAAAAGATTTAGTATAACCTTTTTCGTTTCAGCTCCCATAGGCACTAGCGCCAGAGTTCCCACTAGTCGTCTGTGTAATTATTCTGTTTTCTTTGAATTTCCGAGTTTTACTACCCTTTTTATTAATATTATTCTTGTTTTTCAGTAGATGTGCACATAACTATAATCACTCTGTATCATTTTGAGCCCGCTCCTGTAAGAGCTTGTTAAGAATTATAGTATGAATAAATAAATAAATAGTGTACATTAGAAAACTTTAGATAGATAGATACGCTATCTAGATAGGGGCCTTATAAGGTCCCTCTGAAATTGTGTCTTTTAATATTGTCGTGCATAAATGCCATTATATGCAGCGTTCTCCACATGCTGAAACAAACTCCTCATTACGGTTTTACAGTGGGCCAGTGCGGGAATCAGATCGGATGTCGTTTCTGGGACCTAGCGCTCCGCGAACACACGCTGCTCGAAGATCGAAGTGTAAGTCACTCTGCTATCGCACAAGTAAACGCCTCGTCTCGTCACCTTGACGCCACCAGTTTTTGTCAGGGGACACCCATTTTCGATCCGTGTGTTTTGAAGAACGGGATGACGGTAACGTAGTTTACGTCGCCAGCGCGGGGACGGAGCCCCACTCCTTATAGTACCAGAGCCGGTTCGCGTATTAAGTGTCAACCACAGGCACGCGTATGGTCGTGTCTACGCGTCAAAAGCATCAAATGCGCCTATCGGCGACGCCGTCGGAGGTGCGAGGGATCAAGCCAGGCTTGATATTTTCGCCGCGCGTACAGCGCTTCGTATGCTAGAACTACTACGAAACTACAAACGACTGCGAGCGCTGCAAGCGTGACGCGGTTTTGTGCCGAGTTTGAGCGACGCCGACAAATCCAGTGAATGCCGGTCGGCTGTGCTTGCGCCGGTCCCGAGTGCGATAGTCAGCCAAGCGAAAACATCGCACAGACTACTGGAGCATGTCGGTGATATTGCGCTTAGATCTATGATTTTCTGTACTAAAAACGAGTGTAAACAGACTGTGGAGGTTCGAAGCTTTGAGCGTGAGCCCTCACTTACCGCGGAGGATATTCAGAGCGGTGTCATCTGCAGCACCGTAGGGCCCTACCGTCGAGTTTGTATGAACCAGCTCATGCGAGAAACATCGGCTGAAAAAAATCGACGGTAGTTTCCGTTGCAACAGACACTCTATATACGATGCCCGAAACATCGCGTAGTGCTCGCGGAGTTTTTTATTTGCACTGTGTTTGCTTTTGACATCGGTATTGACCATCGCTGAAAACAAACCTCGCACTAGTCAACACATTTCGGTGATGTGAAAACGTACGTACCTATAAAAGTGTGTTCGCGGATTGTACGACGCTGAAACGTTCTTTGGCTTCGGTGCAAATCGTTTCTGTGTGTTACCAAGATAATAACAAGCGTGCGCTGATTGGTAGCAGTGCGATGTGACTCCGTGTCGGGTACCACCGACGCTGACACATTCAGCTGTCAGCGTTCTCATTTCCAGTCACGTACAAGATATAAACTTGAACGGGCATTGCAGTGGTGATCTAAAAAGAAAGTTGCATGATTAAGTGCTTCTGGTATTGCCTGATAATTCACTTCTCGATTGTTCTGCTTCTCTGCGACGCTCAGTAGCACATACGTTATTTGGAAGCATTCTAACACAAAAAATCTGAACTTCTATTTCATTCTAATACTCATAGCTATAGGCATACAATGACGCTTCTCCGTCCTTTTACAGTTTATTATAATATAACACGCGTTTTGTTTACAGCTGGACAGATAACTGAAAATCTTGTGAGAAGCACCTGATTTGAAATTAGCAGCACGATGACACGATAGTTGGAAGGGAAGGTCACCACGTGTTTGCAAATAATGAATGAAGGTTCACTAGTACTGCACTGCACTTTGTTCAGAAAAAGTGCAAAAAGTGCCTCATGTGACCTATGAGGCCATTCAGAACTGTGCATGTATTTATCTGTTCCCACAAACTGTAATGAGCTGAAGAATTATGAGATAGATTCAAATAATGAATCTGTGTACGTGTTTGCAAAGAGTGCTTCATTTCAGTTAAGTTTTTTATACACATTACCTTAAGCATATTCAAAGAGTCAAAATATTCCGCTTAGCTTTGTTAGAAACTTACTAAAAACTTCTATACAGTGCTCTGGCGCAACCCTATGACCGATATCTGTCGTATCAAAATTTTGGGCACGCTTCATTGTATTACAGGGTATTTAGACTACTGATGACATGTGAAAGCCTTCCACGGAGTGCTTGGCTGCAATCTTATAACAAATATCTGTCTCATCAAGAAGCTTCAGATGCGTTTTGTAGATGTAAAGGATATTTAAACTACCAAAAAATTGCAAAATTCTTCAAGACAACACTCATCAGATATCACAGTCCAGTTTAGAGTGATTTTAGCGCTCTCTAACACCTTCAAATAAAGTTTAAAAACACTAGAATGATATACTTGGTTTGGTTCGTGATACCAGTGTGTCTGACATTTTGGAGGCACTTGTATCATAATAGTGTTCTATTTCTCACACTTTTTACCGGGATGTGATCAGGGGGTAGTGATATTTGTTTATGTTAGCACACTTATTGTGATATTATTGTTAAAATTCCTTAATTTTGTAGTTATGTACACCACTACTGCAGTAGCCTCGCATTGGGCTGACATATTTGGAAATAAATAATTATACCATCCGAAAGCGCTCTACCCTGTGCTCGGTTCTAATCTTATCACTAATATTTAGTGCATCATAAGGTGTATGGTGTGTTTTATTGAATTGGAGAACATTTTGGCTGCAGACAATGTTCGAAAGCTTTCCATACAGGGTTCAGTTCCAGTATTATGACCGATATCTGAGACTTCATGAAGAGTTTGGTGTGGCTTGTCGCTTTAGAGAATACTTTAACTACAGACAACATTCAGAAGTCTTCCATACAGGGTTCAGTTCCAATACTATGTCCGATATCTGTGACTTCATGAACTGTTGGGGGCGGTTTGTCGCTTTAGAAAATACTTTGACTTAAGACAACGTTCAGAAATCTGCCATACAGGGTTCAGTTTCAATATTATGACCGATATCTGTGACTTCATGAACAGTTCGGTGCGCTTTGTCAGTTTAGAGAATACTTCGACTAAAGACAACATCCACAAGTCTTCCATAGAGGGTTCAGTTCCAATATTATGACCGATATCTGTGACTTCATGAACAGTTGGGTGTGGTTTGTCGCTTTAGAGAATACTTTGACTAAAAACAACCTTCACAAGTTTTTGATACAGGGTTCAGTTCCAATATTATGACCAATATCTTTGACTTCATGAACATTGAGATGAGGTTTGTCGCTTTAGAGAATATTTTGATTAAAAACAATGCCCACAAAATTTCCATACAGGGTTCAGTTCCAATATTATGACTGATATCTATGACTTCGTGAACAGTTGGGTGTGATTTGTCGCTTAAGAGGATGCTTCGACTAAAGAGAAGGTCCAGAAGTACTTCATACAGGATTCAGTTCCAATATTATGACTGATATCTATGACTTCGTGAACAGTTGGGTGTGATTTGTCGCTTAAGAGGATGCTTCGACTAAAGAGAAGGTCCAGAAGTACTTCATACAGGGTTCAGTTCCAATAATAAGACATATATCTGTGACTTCATGATTAGTTTTTAGTGGTTTTTCGCTTTAGAGAATAATTTAAATACAGACAACATCCAAAAGTCTTCCGTACAGGGTTCAGTTCCAATAGTATGACCAATCTCTGTGACTTCATGAACAGTTGGGTGCGGTTTGTCGCTTTAGAGAATAGTTCGACTAAAGACAACCTTCAGAAGTCCTTGATAGAGGGTTCAGTTCCAATATTATGACCGATATCTTTGACTTGATGAACAACTATGTAGAGTTTGTCACTTTAGAGACTACTTTCATTAAAGACAACATTCAGAAGTTTGTCTACAGGGTTCAGTTCCAATATTATGACCGATATCTATAACTTTATGAGCAGTTGGGTGTGGTTTGTTGCTTTAGAGAATACTTTACCTACAGACAACATCCAGAAGTCTTCCATACAATGTTCAGTTGCAATATTATGACCAATATTTGTGACTTCATGAACAGTTGGGTGTGGTTTGTCACTTTAGAGAATACTTCACTAAAGACAACGTCCAGAAGTCTTCCATACAGTGTGCAGTTTCAACATTATGACCGATATCTGTGACTTCATGAACTGTTAGGTGCGGTTTCTCACTTTAAAGAATACTTCAACTTAAGACAATGTTCAGGAGTCTTCCATACAGGATCAGTTGCAGTACTTATGATGAGAGGAAAATTTACTAAGCACTTATCATTCAAAATCCTCCACACTGGGCACAATTACAGTCTTGAGAAATCAATCCGTAACATCACGAAGATTAGGGCGTGGGTTGTTGCATTAGAGATGGGTTGTTGCATTAGACAACATTCAAGAGCTTTCCATACAGAGTTCACTTGCAATGTTATGACCGATATCTGTCACATCATGAAGTGTCAGGCAGAGTTGGTTGCATTAGAGCTCAATTCCAATATAGAAAATGCCCATAAGGCATTCTACACTGTATTTTGTTCCCATCTTATGACCAATATATGTTGTATCAATAAGAACCAGGTGTGCGTTGTTGCATTAGAAGATATTTCTAACACACACATCAGCCGAAGGTCTGCCAAACTGGACTCAAATGTAGTCTTATGACTAAATCTTCAAATCATCACGTTTCAGGCGTGATTATCAAGTTAAGTGCTATAAAATGTGAAGTGTAAATGTACTGAGGGTTCCAGCACATTCACAATATTATTAATAAATTTGGTGGTGCAGGTATAGAAACCCGGTGGCTTATAAACTTGATTAGGAAGGCAGCCGCCGCCTCATTCACCGAAGAGAGGAGAGGGGTGCAATGTCTGCCCCATATAATACCATAATGGGGAGGGGGCGCTAAGTCAGCCACTACATTGACATAGTTGGAAGGGAGATGGGGCACTGCGACGAATTTTCGCACCCGCCCCCTTAAGGAGAACCCTGCACACGCCTATGATAGACGTACAGTATCCTAGACGCGAGTTTTCATGCGCGGGAGTGGCACACGCACCGATGTTGATTTCTGGGGCATACCGCTGTAGTTGCTTTGCTCACTGCGATGTCAATTATTTCTAAAATAGTCAGAACTGTGGCGGCCGAATGAAGCACTACCAACATTTTAACGCGCTAATATATTTTCGGCGTCGTACTGAACCTATTCCAGTTCAGAACACGCTGTTCTGTGCTGAACTAGGACATTTTCAAGCCAGAAGATCAAGCAACACTGTGGATCGGCCTTGGGCTGCGTGGGCGTCAACAGCGGTTAACGCGTGCTAGTAGTTGCGCGCCCTTTTCCTCCACAGGCGCGAACTAGACACTGTGCCAGAGGTTAGCACTT